ATATTGTCTAAGTAATGTGAGCATTAAGGTCAATTTCAAGTTGATTATCTAAGTCAAATTTTATCCAGATTTGACCCACCTGACTTATTTTACAATGCTTTTTCTAGTACCCAGTATTAAATAGTTTTTTAAAATCCAGTTTATTCATGCCACGGCTTCTATTATTTGTTTTTTTTAAAATGACTTTAGAAAACATGAGAAAAGGTGGTTACTAGTTGACTTTTCTCCTTTAAGTATAACACATTGTTAATATCAACATATCTTTTAGCCAATACTTGCCTAGATTATGCTTTTGAATACGGAGGTGTGCGATAGACTTATCTCCACGTGGTGCACTCTGGGCAACGCATGCTCATACGACAAAAATGTCTATAGACCGGCAGTTGACTTCTGACCTCAATCTACCATGACCAACTGAAAGTCATATTCGACTTCTATCACAGTTCTCATCTTACTCTTTCTGAGCCTTTGTGTCTGTCTGTCTGTCTCTATAACATCTGTGAAGCACTACTCTTTTCCTCCTCTTGAATTTTTCTCACTTTGATGTTCCTCCCCACTGTGAAGCCTGAAGTCAACTAAAGGGCTAATGATACCCAATCATTTGAAATAAATAAATTAATGCTTTTGAATAAATAAAAATGGCCCTAGGTTCAAATTACTAATCCTACTCACGTTTCAATCCTGCTGATATTCGGCTATATGAACGAAGTTTTATTATTATTTCAAATGGCAGTGCACAATTTAGGGCACTTTCCGTCCTCTCCTGAGTGTTTTCTTAGAAGCGGAATACCATAGAACAAGTTCATCTGCATAAAGTAAGCACTTGATGCCTGTGACTGTCTGTAAAGTAAACACTTGATGCCCGTGACTGTCTGTACCAATTGGCTATTGCACTTGATGCCCGTGACTGTCTGTACCAATTCGGCTATGTCATTGCATGCTCGTGACTGTCTGTACCAATTCGGCTATGTCATTGATGAGGACATTGAAAAGAGTGCAGGTTGTGACAGCTTCCTGTGGATCGAGTGCAGATTATGACAGCTCCCTGTGGAAGGCCTGTTTGTAAAAGATTGGATTTTGATAGAGCATTTCCATATCTGACTTTACATGATCGTTGTCCAATGAATGCTTTTATCCAATTTAGCATGTTATCCTTAATACCAATCTTTGCCAATTTTAGAACTAGCTTCTCTTTCCATACTAAGTCATATGCTGATTTGAAATCAACAAAAACAGCCGTAAGGGTATTTCTGGCATCAAGGGCATCTTTGAAGTGTTGGGAGAAAGTGGCTACTTGTTGATTTGTTGATCTTTGTGGCCTAAAACCTGCTTGTTCACTCCTAAGAATATTGTTGGTCTCAAGGAACCAGGTCAGCCTCCTGTTAACCATTCTTTCCATAAGTTTAGCCAGCACGCTTGTGAGGGAGATAGGCCTATAGTTGTCAAAGTTGCTAGGGTCTTTGCCTATTTTTAGTACTTGTATTACTATGGCAACTTTCCATTGGTTAGGTACGAGACTGGTCTCCCAGATTGTGTTGAAGAGCGTCAGCATGGCTTCCTTGGCTTTTGGCCCCATTCTAATTAGAAATTCTGGATGAATACTGTCTTCGCGAGGAGACTTCTTGCACTTGAGCTGTTTTATTGCAGCATTAAATTTGCAAGGTCTGAATGGTTCAGTAAGTACATTATTTGGTGTTGCTATGTCTTCCTTAATTTCACCCAACCGTCTTGCTTGTATTTTTAAATCTCTTGAAGACTTTCTAACAAAAGAGTTTTTCATTTGGGAATAGAACCTCGCAAAGGAGTTAGCTATTTCGGAGTCGGTGGTAAGCAGTTCGTTTTATAAACGTATTGGTTCTTTCTTGGGTCTTTGTCTGTTGTTTTGGAGATTACCCTGGAATTCGAAAGTGCATTGGCTATCAATTTGGTAGAGATGAACTTGTCGAAGGAAGTTCGTTTAGCTTGTAAGATTGGATGAATTTACGCGTTCTTCCAGTCTGATCAGCAGTTTTGCGAAGGGCGTCTCTGATCAGCAGTGTTGCGAAGGGCGTCCCGCTTTCTTTTAGCTTCCTCAAGGTGTTTGGACCAAAACACTCGATAGTGTTTATCCTCAATGTGTTTAGACCAAAACACTCGATAGTGTTTAGTCTTGCCTATGGGTAATGTGAAGGGCGTCCCGCTTTCTTTTCAGTTCCTCAAGTTGTTCGACCAAAACACTCGATAGTGTTTAGTCTTGCCTCGGGGAACAGTTTTCTTTGCACATCTGACCATAATATTCGTGATATCATTGAAAAGTTTGTCAGGATATTGGTTGGAGTTGAGGGGACTTATGTGAAGTTCATTCTTTAAAGAGCTTTGTGAATCTAGGCCAGTCAGCCTTCTTGAAGTTCCATGATAGCTTAGTTGGCACCTTCCTTGGCATGCTTTAGCTGCCAATGGTAATACTAGCAATGACTGGTTTGTGACCAGAGCCAGGATCGTCAATTTTTTCGCGGCGTGTTTGCTCGCTGATGTCGCTTGAAGCCAGGAGTAAATCAGGAGTTGTTCCGGTTCCATTGTAGTGCAAATATGTAGCCAGATCCTCATTGCTGTAAATAAGTTCCAGAGAGTTGCTGTTTTGCATGTCTTCAATTTCCTTTCCAGCTATGTTTGTATCCCTGCAGCTTCATCTGGTGGAATGGGCGTTGAAGTCTCCTAATACTACAGTTTTGTGTGAGATATTCAGAAAGTCAAAGTTGGGACAATTCTGGGGTGGATTATAGACTACATATACCTTGAAGTGGTTTTGAAATTTCCAAACATTTAATCTGATTATTTCACATTTGTCTTCTGTCGAGCTTATACTCTTGAATAGATTGTAGTGTGATGTGAGGCCTTCTTTTACTCCAGTTAGAATTCCCCTTGCAACTTGCCGGTATTTAGGTAGAAGGTGCAGGGTGTAAC